GCGCAGTATAACCGAATAAAAAACCGGCGCTCCAATTATTAGTATAGATATTGCATCATTTTATTCCCCTTCATCATTGGACAATTTGCCGCTCGGCAGGACCGTCTTTTGTTCTTGACATTCCCCGCCTTCGAACGAGGAAGTTCGCCTTTTCCTTCGAAATGCGTACTGCAAAGGAGTGGAACAACTTGCCAGCATCAGCTTTCCCGTCCGATTATAATGTTAGTGTTTGGCTTGAGTGAATAGGCTTTTACTGGATAGTGCATTTACCATCTACAATTACATCTTTACTTACTCTGTTGGGTGAGATGATAGTCGAACACTGTCCAGATATTGGAAAAAAACTGAAAAAACAAGAAGGAGTCACGGGCCTGCCGACACAAGTCAGGACTTAAAACTGAAATATTTTTTTTTTTTAATTAAATAATTAAAAACACAAAATACTAACTTAAATTTTAAAAGACCTATTTTAATTTTGACAACTTAAAACAAATTACATTTTTCATTAAAATTTTCTACAATTTTATTATTGAAATGTGTGACAAAAACACTTTCGAACAACTTTAAATTTGTTTTACAGGAATCAAATATTAGAAAAACCAAATGATATCAATATTTGACGTTCCTATCGTCAATGACAAAACACGTGACATTAGTAGGTTGGTGACGAGAACGTATGAAATGTAATACAAACATATTTTAATGATACGGACTTTATACGACTGAATTAAATTATAGAGCAGGAATTAAATGGGTCGACTTTTGCACTTGGACCTATGCAAAAAGTAGCACACGAAGCGTAAACCATGCCATTTCCATAATTTATATATTTTTTTGACTAACAAATAGTAAACAATGATTAAATTAACCCCAAATATTACACCATAACACATTAAATGAAAAAACAGTTGACAAATTTCATTTGCTCGCAAATTTTAGACGTATTCACGCGGCCGCCGCGGAATGTCATTTAATTAAAAAATGCACGCGTTTCGCGGAAATTACCAAATAAACACAAGGCTAGTGGGTTTGACATATGAAAGGAATTTAATTTACAATGTGCTTTACAAAGCGTAGATAAAACAATGTGTGTGTGTGATATGAGCAACGAAATTTACAATATCATTTTAGCTCATATTTTTGTAGTAATATTCGATATGAAAATCAGTTCATTTTTAAAGTGACTGAATTAACTATTTATATTTAAAGACATATCGAAAATACGTCTTATCACAACAATACGTTCCGTTCAAAGTCAATTTCTTATCAGAATCCAGTGTTGATTTTTATAATATTCCAATACAACTGCTAAAATTTAATATTGACTTGAGGTCTTGTTGAATTTCGATTGATATTATAATAAGAATCATCGAGTAATATACCGCATAAATAACAGTTTAACATGCTGTTCACTCACATGACATTTCGCCTCGAAATGCTATGATGCCATACTTTATTAGTTGCTTAATGGATAGTTCACAGGTCGAAGAGCGATCTTCTCCTTTCTACTCGTATGATCACGTAACTTATGGACCGGTGTTGAATTTCAACATACAGAACTAAAATGCTCATACGTGTATAATTATCTTTATTTCAAAATAAAAGGGCAGAGAATAGTCGTTATCATGAGTATTTGTTTAGAGAATGACTGGAGAACAATTAGAAACTAACCAACCGCAGTCAGTAACTACCTGCATGAATAAAATGGACCCTGGGTATGAAGGGAACCTTAGCCAGCAACGCATATATTTAACTGATATTTAATTTAGTTTTATGTCTTTGAGCAGATATTCGTATGGAATATAAATAGACAACACCAGAACCGTCTTATAAAACTCCCAAGCATTTAATTATTTAGTAAACATTCAAAATACGTGATAAAGTTTAAAGATATATTTATAAGCTACTGTATTTTAGTAAGACTTCGTCTCCGTTGTAGTTAAGAAATAGCCTTATAGCAAAATGACGCTGTAATATCGAGTAGCGGAGTGTAAACATAGAGATTTTTATAGACAAGTCAACGAACCAGCGGACGATAGCTGCTTTCAGTGACGACGAAAATCTACTGTTATTTCAATCTTGTCAACTTTTTCTTTTTCTGTGATAAAGTACATGTTCCAGAAATGTTTATCAATACTTGTTGAAAATGAGACATCTTGCCGTATTTATTAGCGTAAATAAGATACAACTAAAACTTAATCGTCATCAAAATTTATTGAACTTAAGAATATTTCTTAATATCGGGTAACTGACCATAAACAATATAATTAAAAAACAGAACAATATAATTGTAAACAAAAGTACATTGTAGTGTATTTAATATTTCAAAGTCTTATTAGCTGGCGTTCACTTGCATTGAAAATTTAAGTCTGTAAAGCGCCGTGACCCTTGTTTGCAAGTAAGAGGTGATTAATTAAATGCGCCTTACACAGAGCTTTGAGCTATTATAAAATTTAAGTTAATTGGGCCTTACCTCACGTTCAATGTTACGTTGCGCGTGTCGTGCAAACGCTCGCCGTGTCGCTTACAGCATTATTCAACTGCGCACCGGCTCACCCACTTTCGATCGCCTCAGCCAGTTCCAACAAAGAGTTCACAGTTTTCATTGTGCTACTTTGCGCGCCAGTATTAAAACCATCGCTTAATTGGCACGTTAATTCGAATCGAACGGACTCCGCACTGATCGGTTTCACGTTTCGCACGGAAAGTTGTTTTTCTTTGTGAGCTAGTGTCGGCCGTATTTCATTTATTACGGAGCAGACGGAGTTTGGAGTTTCCCGATCGCTGTTAAAGTTTTTGAATGCACGAACGAGTCCTAATTTAAGATATCAATGGGTTCACGTCACGGGGCAAGACGTCACAGAGTAGACGGGAGGAAGCCGGCGCGGGCGCTTCGGGCGCACTCGAATCCCGTCGCTACAATATAAGCTAACAGAGCGCCCTCTCTCGCTCCAACTCACCAGACCAGACGTGACTATAGATAGGATCACTGAACCGAGGAGAAACAGAAACGTCTGTCTTTCTCATCCGGCGGTGGACGCGGCGGCGCGGCGCGGCGTGGCGTCGTAGAACCGGTTTTGTATTGTAACTTTTAGTCGCCACAAATAAAAAGTCATGCATAGATAATCGTGGCTAGTACAAGAGCGAGTTTTGCGAAGGGCCAGCGCTCGTGGCGATGGGAGGAAGCTGTTACTGGACGGAAATGGACACGGCCGTTGGATCCATTAGAATATCAACTGCACATCCTTTACATGCAATGCCCCTTTTTATGTTCGTTATTTATACTTACTTTACATAAATATTTATACATGACTTGGATTTATAAGAGCATTCGTTAATAAACAAGTTAAAAGTGCACAGACTATATGTCTAATAATGTCTTTTTGACTTGACTGTGACTACCAAAAACCAATATATATACTTGTAATAGACATTATGTTATCGAGTTTTGGGAATCTAATGCGTACATCACAATGGTCAAGGAGAAGCTATATCACTTTCATTATGAAAAAAAAAACAATGTATTTTCATTTTCAAGTTTACAACTATATTCTTCGTTGTCGATAATATCAGGAATTGTCAATCAGCTGGTGATAATAGTCAAGCTAATATCTCACTTGATCGTAAGTTCTTGGTGTTAAAAGCATTCTTGCTTAAAGAAACCGACAAAGTAATCGAATAGAAATCCTTTAATTTCACGCTACTTATTTATTTAATTTTTATAAATATTTGCAGTTACTAACAGTAATCCTTACTTATAATATTATAAACATATAATATTATAAACGGGAAAGTCTGGATTCATGTTTGTTACTCTTTCACGTAAAAACTATTGAATAGATTTTAATGAAACTTTACAATCAGAATAATACATCAGAATAATATATAGGCTATAATTTATAAAGATATTGTGCGAATTGTCCAAAATATAGGTAATGATAAGTGTCAGCTAAGTAGGAAAAAATTCAGCCATCTGCGAGATATTCTGGTGTAAAACAAAAAAACTCATTGTTAATACACTTTGGCCGCGCGGGTGAAGTCGCGGTTAACAGCTAGTAAACTATACATATATTTTGTATTTTCACTAAAAGATATGTACAGCATTTCAACGTGAAAATTAAAATAACTTATGCATTTAAAAGATAACAAAATATAAAGACGCTATTCCATGCAATACAGGTTCATATTTATAATTTATAGTTTTTATTTTGAGTTTGAGTGTGGTATAGAAATCATTTCTTTTTTAAGGAACCCAGACTTTCGCTAAAGAGATTTATATTACATTTATCAAAAATATCATTGTTATTTTTCGTCATAAAACATAGAGGAGAGTTGCTACCATACTTTCGGCTATTGACATTTACATTGTAGAACTAAAATCACGAAACTTTACTGAAACTCTGGGCACCTTCAAGTTAATTTGTGATAGTAGTGAAATTCCACTTTATTGTTAAGCAATTTATTTATGAAACTTACAGACAGCAGATTCCTACGCTGCTCCAATAATAGATCATAAAAGCTAATTATGTGTAGAACACTGTAATTTTTATTACATTTCTTTTTCTACATCCGCAATTGTGGTCTCAAAATAAACGAAATACACACTAGGTAGAGCTACGCACGCTGTTGCTCGAATGGTCAGGTCCATCCGGGGAAGTACCACGACCTCACAGAAGACCGGCGTGAATTGGAAGTATTATACTTCTGCGTTTCGTCTGATGACTGAGTTAGCCGTGGCCCACTTTATTGAAAGGGGGCAATGCGTCTGCAACGCTACGGGTGTGGCAAATGTCCATGGGCGGTGGTTATCATTAGAACATCAGGTGAAGCTAGCTCACTTCTCACCTTCTCACATAAAATAAAGCTTCGTAATCTGCGATATAATTGCTATTTGCTCTCAAAACAGGGACAACCGTTATAGCTGTGTCAAAGCTGAACAATGACGCCCGTTCATTAGCGATAGTTAAGTTCTCGTATAGAGCAAATAAATCGGTGCGTTAAGCGCAAACAAATGGGTGGACCTCGCACTTGGCCCGGTCCGGGCCGGAGGCTGAAGAGGCGTGGGAAAACAAACAGCCGCCGTCCTCGTTAGCGGCCTCTTGTCCAGCATCGAAGCCATCAAGCCCCACAATCATCCGGCCTAATTTCCACCCCAATTGCTGCTTTATCGCCCTGACAATAAGGGCGAGAGCGCGGCCGCCCGAAAAGCCGACAATTTCGCCGCCAAACGGAACTTCTGGAATTTGTCGCAGTCCCGGAGATTACTTCTTATGAGGCTTCGTTGTTTGAATGGGCGTTTAACAAATGTCTCCTTATTTTAATAATAACGTGCAAATTCTTTGGTATACTGTTGTAATTATAACAATTACTTTAATGAAACACAAATATAAATAATCTTTATATTTTACTATTTATTACAAGAATCAATTTAAACATTCATTGGAAAACTAAAATACATTGGTTTCAATGTATTTTCTTTTTTTACGAATTAACTTTATTTAATTAAGTTTTACAAAATTTAAAATAGTAAAAAAAAAAACGTTCATCAATCTACCTTTTTTAACAGGAGAACAAATTTTAATGTCATAAATACAAAATACATAAGGCTATTCAGGCTCTCTATAACGTGTAAATTTTTATCATGAGTCATGACCTTTTGCCGTAACAGCAACGATATCGATACCAAAGAAATTCATATTTAATTAGGGAATAAAATTATAACACGCAAAATGAAATGGCAAATTTTCGCTTGATCGATTCACAACGGGAATGACCCGCACCATAATGGGGTAACGGATTACGTGAGGGAAAGCTCAGACGTGCGCAGGCGATTTTAGCCCTTACGCCATTTAACGGTAACCGTTGTGTATAGTGAGAATTCGATGCTCAACAGTTGCGAATACACTAGACTCTAATAATGCGTATTCTAATGAAAGGCGCTAAATAAAACAACGGGACCAAGTGCATCGCGAATATCTTATCAACGCTGTGATAACAACGTGTTATTTGTCCTTGGGTGCATTTCCACTCCATGCGTGGTTAGCCACTAAAGAGAAGTTTATAAAATAATTGCACTTAAAGACATTTTAAAACTGTTGTTATTATAATATCTATATGCATACTATAACGCATACACATTTATAAAATAAATTTCAAATGTGATTTGGAAATGTTAGCGAAAACACAAAAGGTACACCCCGCAACGTAAACTATATTGTTTTGTTGAAATTTTGATCTTAAGTTTGAAGTCTTATAAATTTGATCCGTGTGTAGAAATAAACGCTGCTGAGTAAATCTATGAAGAAATCTATCTACGTACCTGATCGCAGTGAAGTCGAGGTTTTCGTTAGGTAGAAAACTAAACACGTGTTAGCTTTTTCCACCACATCCAAACAGTATATGTATATCGAATACCCTACTGATTTATCATGGATAAATTTAGAAATCCGATAATAAAGTAACTTTTAAAAAGGTACTTTCCATTCAAACGGTAATGGGTATTGCAACTTTGAACAGCATCAGGTTCAAGGAAACTTTTGAGCGTGGACTAGGCAAACACACCAGTAACTTATTCCAAAAGTAGAGACGATATCAGTCTCGTCATTTCGCGGTGGAAGCGCGCGGGCGTCCTGTAGGGCGGCTTGTGCGGCACTGGGCGGGCGGCTATGAGTCGCGACCGCCCTTCATGAGAAGTTCACGGCGACCAACTGACTTTTCTGTTTGGTCTGGTAACGTTATTATAGTTCAATCCTATTGCTCCTTTGCCGTGTAGATAACTAGGATATATTTAATTTCCGGCGGGTGCTGAACTTTTAAATTGCGATTGAGTAAGTTCTAAATTCACCTTTTAACTAATTTTAAACATGTTTTTAAATTTAAATTAGCGTAATGTATGTTAGTACAATGTTTAAGTTCTATAACTTGATCATCACGATAACTTCGATAAAAATCATAGGTCAAATAGAGTTTTAAAACATAGACACAAAATAGAAAGCAGATAATAAATAAATGTCCATGGGCCGTGGTTTTCGCTTACCGTCAAGTGATCCGCTTGCTCGTTCTGGCTAGCCCACCGGTTCTGTCTGGCTAGCCCACCGGTTCTGCGTCCGATGAAGCTTTAATAGTCTCGGGACTGAAAGCAAAAACATCAGTTAATACTCAGTTAAGATACAAGAAGCTTGCTCGTTTGCCTCCAAAAAATAATAGTAATAAATAATATTAAGACTATTAATATATATTATAACATACGCCATTTCACTTACTCGTATCATTATTGTTACAATATTTTGTTAAAACATTAAAAACACGTTAAAACATAAAAAAAAGCTTAGGTTTTTTTAATTCGGGCGCTAAACAGCCCAAATGTTATCAATCCTGAATAAATTGTTTATCACCATCGTATTTTCCGTAAATATTAAAAATATAACTGTTCTAGGATCATGCGCAGAATACGATGATAGGCGATTTTAAGTTAAACAACTATGGTCGCGTGATAAATGTCTCTACTTTCACCTTAGCTGGTAATAATCACGAACGTGTCGTATTGGGTCGATATTCTTTCACTGAAAACAAAACAAACGGGTCATTGTATGTATTGCCTCGTTTGCAACAGAGGTGTTTATAAAAGACATTTTATAAAACAAAATTCCGTTTTGAAAACTCGAGTTGTCGAACGTAACAGTTTAATTGGAAAACCATTATAACATTCAATAAATAAAAACAATCATCGTTACTCGAGCTTGAGTGATACGATGGTTCAAACCGAGGAAATACATTGGCTTGATAATTGAAGCGACGAGCGAGTAATCATTTTTCATTGTTGTTTTCGACTTTCTGGTGGAAATAAATCATGTGAATTAAACAAGCTCAAGTTTATGCCAAAGCACTGAAAAAGTTCAAGCTTATTAATTAGATACACGTGAGCTTAATTAGTCGAAACTTTGTTTTCATATAATTTTTTGTATTGTTAACTTCCATTTTGTAAGGTTATATTAGTAAAAAGTGCATTAATTCGCAATAAAACCTATGTTTCTTGCATACATGCCCCATTATATTAACAAAATTTTCAGAGTCAACAATGGCGGGTATAGGTCCGTCGCCAATATTTATCCGAGCAACCGTGTTTAAATCTCGTTCAATAAATACCTAGGGCGTTATCAATAGCCGCTCCCGCCGGTCGATGTAAACAAGGTCGCTATTATTCGGGCCAGTATTGCAACTTGTAAAGAATTTCCGACAAGGGATCGACATCGCCAAGAATTTGCTCAGCTAGTCTTAGATACGACAACTGGTCGAAGCTATGATTTTAGTTATGCAGAACGACAAAAAGCCAAAATTATTTTAATGCAGGTTTAGCAAAGAGCTTCACACCCAAAATACCAAGACCTACGATTAAATTTTAGTATATATGTGATTCCTTGCATAATTCAGAATGTATAATTTATGAGCCCTACCGTTTTCAATTTTGTTTATTTGCTATTATCCGCAGCAATTTAAACTTTATTAGGGTAAGGGACGGATATCAGGGTTTAATACGATAGAAGATTCATAGAACTGTAATCTAAAAAATAAATAGTCACATACGACGGGCAATACAATTCGTGTTCGTTTTATGCATTATTATTAAAAATTTACTAATAAAGCTTACTTGATGGAAAATGAGGAGCGCATATTTCATCATCATCATCATCCACTGTTGAAAAAAAGTCCCATTCGACCAAGATTCTGCAGTATCTGAAGACAAGAGTGTATAACCAGTGTAAGTTGTCGGTGATGACAGGAGTGTGTCATTGAGACATGGTCTTAAAAATAGGGCCTTTTAGAGCACAATAAGCTATGGAGAGAGCTACGCTCGAAGTTTCTGTGCGTGGCAAAATCCGGAACGAGGAAAATCGCCGAGAAACCAGAAACATCGCTCCTGGAAGTTATATTTATAAAGAAATAATCAAATACGTAAATTTTAATTTTCTCCACATAAATAGTTTTCTCAATTTTCGATCATGAAGATTTTTGCAGTATGAAAAGAAAGAGGTTTTTTGGTTTGAATTTTTTGTTGATTATTTTTATCCTTTGACTAAACCTTTTTATGTTCATATCGTCATAAGCCTAAAGTTATATCTGTAAAGTTTTAGCATTTGACTATACCTAAATCAAATGTAGTCTAGAATTAAGGTAGGACAATAATATTAAAAAATCGCTTTATTGTACAAAGCAACAAAGACTTTAATTTGGTGACTGTTTTTTTTTTGGACCCGTTTTATGTTTTCAGTTCAATAAGACCATACTATGTTCCGCTCCTCTTTTGGCCTTGCTTATAGAATTTATATTAACTTAAAAAATTCAAGTTAACTTTAAATGTATAGTATGAAATTTGGGACACCTTGCGAAGGGATAAGTTAGCGCTCGCTGGTAATTCAATGCCTATTTAGTGAAAACAGTTGTTTTGAAACAATTGTTACAACCCCGTACAGAGGAATCGCAGGCGATAGATAGGGAATCGAAACATTGTTCGCGGGCAGAATAATAGTGTTTTACCCGATAAATAGTAAGGACAGGAAACGGCGTAACGCAAGAAAAGGTGCTCGCGAGGAGACCCGGATTAGAAACCTATCAAATGTTATCATGGAGCTAATTAATCGTTACATAATGCCCATCACAAATCGTATGCAAATATAATAGTTGTAATATATAACTCATAAAAGTGTTCAGCACGAATACTGAACGTACGATACATGAATTCAGCATGCATGATACGATACATACACTAAGAGCAACGGAGGAACGTGTTTATCTTTGACAACCGCAAACAATCTATGCTGAATATATTATATTATTATAATGAAGCGTAATTTTACATTAAGTTTATAAAGTTCATTAAGAATTGTTTAGTATGAAGCAGTTGTTCCCTCGCCTAAGTAAGAATATGTCTCAATTACAGAAATGCCATATTACCTGATCGTAACCCAACATTGCTGAGCAACCAATTAACCCGATTTGCTAACATTGCTGTGTCGATTGGCAAATTTGCATATTTTTAAAATATTTCGAACTGTGGTCTACTCAACAGTCTCCGCTGATGCACGAATGGACAGATCCGTCCGGGTAAGTACCACGACCTTACAGAGGATCGAAGTGAAGTGAAAGATAAATACTTTCGCGTTTCATCTGAGGAGTGAAATAGCCGGGGTCCAATATATTAAAAAGAAAAGATCGCATCTGCAACTCTACAGGTGTTGCAAGTGTTAATGGAGGGCGGTATCACTTAAAATTAGGTGAACCGCCAGCTTGCTTGTCACCTTCTCACATAAAAAAAAAATTATATTATTTTTTTGTTATTTCTGAGACGGTTTGGCTGTTTCCTCAAGATCAGTTCTTTTTCGTCGTATTAGCGCAGTTAACTTAAAATTTACATTTCGTTTGCTAAAATAATTTGTCTTTTCTGTTAAATAAGGAACAATACCGACTGAATGTATTCATTTAATTTTTTGGCTGTTCAAAATACACATAGTAAAGTAAAGTAAAGTAACAGCCTATACATGTCCCACTGTTGGGCAAAGGCCTCCTCTATACAGAGGGTATCAGGGCATAGTCCACCACGCGGCCCCACTGCGGATTGGCGGACTTCACATATCTTCGAAATATTTTTTTTGTTATTATTTCGAAAATATGCAGGTTTCCTCACGATGTTTTCCTTCACCGCGGAGCACGTGATAAGTCAGCACTTAAAGTTAAAAACTTCATTGGTGCCGGCACCGGGGATCGAACTCAGGTTGCTCGAGTATATTGAATTAAAGGCGAGCGCCCGGACACTGAGCTATCACGGATCTAAATTACACATAGTAATCTATTTTTCATACTGTTACCGGTGATGTAGAATTTCTTTAGTTTATACCGAATAGAATTAATAATTATCATAATAATAAATTTACCGACATTGAATAATACATTTTATCTTTAATTTAAAAAAATCTCCGTGACACAGTTGTCAAGGTATTGGCTTCGGCGCCGAGGGTCGAGGGTTCGATTTCTGCACGGGACAACTATTTGTGAGACCCACAGATACTTGTTTCGGATCTGGGTGTTTGTCAAGGGGAAATTTATGTTTGCAGAACGTCTTTACAATACAGGATCATGTAATCCTACAGTAGGGGCATTGTTTTTAAGAAAAAAAGGGACTAATGGCTTAACAAATTATCATACGTTTTGTAGTATCTGCATTTTATTAAGCCTTAATTTTATAACAATTCTTATACGTAATAAGAGGGTCGCTCCCACTTGCAATTCCAAATTGATTTATTTTCCAATCTCTCTGTTTTACTTCAGCGAGTCTAGAAAGTTAGCATGTAGTTGTAAAAACTTTGCAAAACTAATGTATAACATAAATTCAAGCAAACCAACTTAACAACGGTAGTTTAAAATTAGATGCTGATTGATTGATTAGACTGCAAAGGTTTAAGTTGTTACCGCGCTAGCAATGTTTCTGCAGCGTATTGTGGGTTTAATGCCAACACAAGAAAAAATGAATCATTGCTTATCATATTAATTTGAATAAACAACTATAATTGTTTCGAGTATGAGTGTCATTTTGTGCCCGTGACTTGTTTGTCAATCTCTCAGCAACACGGGCGTATCGGGTATGTTTTTTTCCCAAATATGAGTCTGAAGAAATAGTGGATTATGGTTTGAGACGAATTCACTTGTCACCATGTCCTGATATAAACGACTCTATTACATTTGAGACAATCATTTTCCTTCTCTGTATTCATTAATTATATTCAATAATTCATTTTCCAATTCAATACCAATGAAATTATGTAATATACAAAATATGAAAACACATGAACAGCACCAGCTTACAAATACAAAAAGAATCATCAAAATCGGTTCACTCAGTTGAAAGTTCTGAGGTAATAACTAACGAACATAAAAAATACAGTCGAATTGAGAACCTCCTTCTTTTTGAAGTCGGTTGAAAATTTAACATACTTTTATCGAAAGAAAAATAAACATCATTATAAAAAGGTTCCTAGTAAGCAATTATGGGTTGAGACGAATTAACTTGTAACCAGGTCTTGACGTATACAACTTTATTATTGTTGCAACAGTATATAAAATGCATATGAAAAGAAAAATAGAGGCCATTATAAAAAGGTTCCTGGTAAGCATGGAGGATGCAGTCTAAACTGTGACACACGTGACCGTAGGCACGGCATCCGATAGGTGGCGTTTACGGAGAAACAGCAATCAGTCGGCACACGCTGGCAGGCCATCGGATGCCGACGCGCGGACTGAAAAACTCATAATTGCTAGTTGCTGCAGAGCCACCGCTCACGATCTGGTTTGCGGTACCGCTACCATTAGTGGCAAGAATTTCTTGCTGTTTCATTGCTCGGCGTTTTGCGACGTCAGACCATATTAATAAATCTCACTTTTTGTATAACGCTTAGTCGTCGCTATTCTGAATACTCATTATACAAGTTGTCACGTCGCGGATTGTATTGCATACACTTCAATTTATTACAATCTACGTTTAACAACCGCTATACGTTACTCAGTATTAATGGGTTATATTGTAAATATCACCCCAATTACTTCGGGAAACAGACGAGCGTATTGAATAGTAATGCGAAATATATTGGGTTGGATCGTACATCCTTATTTGCACCATCGTGGACTAAATTATTCAGTCCACGTCAAGTAAAACAGAACGTATGTGTTCGCATCGTATGTATGTGCATTCAGTGAGCGGCTCCGATGAATTGCACCTTCAGTGACTATTGTCTATTGCATATTTATCATTGACGCTTCTCAGAGGCTACCCCGGAATCGACACTCATTTCGCGGATCGTCGATAGAACATTGTCGATTTGGCGACCACAAAGGGCAACGTGCTATGCAAATACGACTCCATTATCTGTCGTCGGATGCGCCGTGGAGATTTACATAGGAATAGGGAAGTCGGCGTTAGCAGCGGTTAGTCTCGCGTACAAGGGGCGAGCTTCGTCATAGCAGGTGCCGAGCGCCCCGTAAAGCCCGCCATACGTGGTAGACGATTGTAGACACAAATCTGGGTTGCTAAAGTTATGACCTAACTCAAATCTGCATAAACACTGATTGTATAGAAATTGCATATTTAAATTTCCATCACGTCTCCGTTCATTCGACCGCTAGTTGAGCAAGAAGTATTACACAAACCAAATTTGGTTTCCTCATAGCAAGTCAATGTAAATTACTTGTCATTAATTAATTTTGTTGGCGGTCAGTCGGACAAGACGTGCGTGGTTGCAAGAGGTTGTGAGAGCCGGTTGCGTCTCGTGTCTGCTTCTAACCTTGATCGTATTGTATCTTATAATATGGTTTTATTACTAGGGTAGAATTAGTGTCAGATAAAAGTTTTATTAAAACTCGACACAGTGTAGGTTTTTTGAACGCATTTCAAATTATATTAAGTATTAAATAATCATGTGTAAACAAAATCCTGTTGAAGGGATTGTGTTAATTATTTTTCAAATTTTAACTATTGTCATAGTCTACTAATGGGTCAATCTTCATCTAGTTAAATGACTCTTATATTGAAGCTTAGAAATTGATATACCTTTGTACTATAGGGCTTTAGATTTGATGTGGTTGAAGACATATTCACGTCTTCAGTGTTAACAACTCTTGGTGAACCTAAATTAATAAGTGAAATAATAAAAGCTTGATCATTAAAACATGTGGAAAAAGTACGAAAAGATTGTCACCGCTGTGGGAAGCGAACCCACGTCTTCGGCATTCGCGGCCTGACGCTCTAGCCACTGAGCTAAACGGCTGTAGCCACAGCGACGAAAATCTTAACGCCTTATCTCTTAGATCTTAATAAACTAAACAAAAAAATGATTAATAGATAATTAACATACAGATCTCGTGACTTTCTCGTTTAAAGACACGTCTAAGATTTAATTTTAAATGTTATGCCAAACTCGTTAGCTCTTATTCGGCAAAGGGCAGTTAGCGAAATAAAAATTTTGTAACATCGGTGAAAAATGTTCTATCTATTATTCTATCGATTTCATATAATCATTTGACCGAGAATATTTCGAACTTGGGTGAACGGCTGCATAACTTCATTGCAGGAATCTTGAGATGCTGGTATCGGACCGAGAGATCACGGTTGACAAATCATGTGAACAATTAAGCCTGAAATAAATTATTTGTCAAAGGGGCTGTTTATACTCTTTATTTATTTGTTTCACTTTGAATTTTTCATATCCTCGTTCACTACGCATAACATTAATATATAACATAGGAATAGGCACTCATATTGTGAAATACATTATTTAAAAATTCCGATTTTTAGCAAGGACTTATAGCACTTTCCCGTACCTGTATTCCACAGCGGGGTAATCTTTTAGATCTTAAAATCCTTCCGTAATACGGACGTGCTATTGAGTACTTACTCATACTTCTACGGAGTCTTATGTTGTTAGCTCAGCCTTTTGGGCTTCTACAAAGCCGATTTAACTTGTAGCAGCACGGATTTTAAAACATAGTGAAGTGCAATAAGATATTAAACTAATTTTATAAACATTGAATAAAGATTTTATTTTGAATACACTATAATTTAAAAAAAGCCTTTCATTTATGTAGTACTGTCAGTATCATCACTCGATTCGTTTCTTTAGATTCTTAACAAATTTATCGTGTTTGAACCCTTAATGGGTGGGTACACAGAGACCGCTATCAGTACCATAGTATTAGTAAAAGGAAAAGTATGAGCATTCGTAGAAAATTAATTAAATAGTTTAATTGTACACATTATCAGTCAAAACATTTTTCTAAAATTTTATAATTTATATATTTGGACAATAAATGAGGACACTTAAATTCACCAATTACAGCCGGCTTAACTGTTTATGAACCTATTTTATCCAAAAGCCAAATAAATGAATTTAATAATACTGCTTTAGCTAAATGAGTTCGTGAATATCCAAAACAGGATTGACATTGCATAAATAATATTTT